TTAGACAAAATTTTGGAAAGTTAGCTCAGTTATGGAGGAAAGCAAGCTCAGTTATGTTTTCTTCTTTTTATTTTTATAGGTTAATAATGCTCGTAAGCCAGAGGTGAAAGTGGCTCAGCAGAGCAGCATCGGGAAATCTGGCAGACTGGAAGAGAACAGCTGCCCCCCAGGGCAGCCGCGAAGTGTGAAGCATGGAGGAAAGTAAGAATGAGAAGGTGAACCAGGCTCATGTTCTCTTTGACAGATTTGTCCAGGCTTCAACCTGCAAGGGGACTCTCAAGGCTTTCCAAGAGCTCTGTGACTATCTAGAACTAAAGCCCAAGGACTATCGCTCCTTCTATCACAAACTCAAGTCCAAGCTAAATTACTGGAAAGCCAAAGCCTTGTGGGCCAAATTGGATAAAAGAGGCAGCCATAAGGACTATAAGAAGGGGAAAGCATGCGCCAACACGAAGGTAAGAGATTTATTCACGGTGATCAAAACATCTATTACCCAGTGTGTTTCTGGAATACACAATAAAAATGTTTCAATGTAGAAAGATGTTTGCCTGGTGTCAGTATAAGCCCAGGGAAGATTAAGGAATGTTCTCACACGTATTATTTATAATATAGTCACAATTAGTTAGCATTTGACTCTTAATCAAAAATTGCATTTGCTGCTGCCAAATTTGACTGCCGACCTGAATAGGGGAAGCTAAGTGGAAATCCTTGTGAATTACCAGAATGTTTGTAATTTATTCAGGAGAAGCAGCCTGCAAGTTTATGGTTTTGTGGCATCAATACTATAGATGGGTTAGAAAAATCTTAATTAGTAAACCTTTAATCTTGGTAGGCTTTTTTTTGTTTGTTGGGTTTTTGTTGTTGTTTGGTGGGTTTTTTTTGGTTTTTTTTTTTTTTTTTACTAGACAATAACAGGGACATGAAATTTGCTGTTGGACTTTAGATAAAAAAAATGTATGTTTGGAAATTTCCAGTTTTAATTTGAAAATTCTCATTAATCTCTCAAGAAAAGTGAACTTTCTTGACAAGCTGGCAAAATATTCTATTTACTGTTATTTAGAAAGTAATCATTTGTATTCCAGGTTCAGAGAAAAAAAAATGCTGTGGAATCTCATACCAATTCCTTTTAAAAGGTTGGTATGTGTGGTATTTACTGCAGGAATTCCTGCTTTTACACCCCACCCCATTTTTTTTTTTTTAACCTGAATTATTGTGAGCTGGTATTTATGTGCTGCACCCTTGTTGGACTGTACAGTGTGAGCTTACTTATTTGTTTTGTTGTTACTGAAAGCAGTTCTTTATATCATTCATCAAAATGTGAATGGAATAGGTTATTTTCACAAATAATCATACAATCTTCCTTTTTTAAAAAAGGAAAATAGTGCAGAATATGATAAAATTAGAACAGGATTCTGTCCTCCTTCATTGAAGACAATAGATGCTGCTTCTTCTCTTGAATATTCAGCTTTTGGGAGAAGGAAATATCTTAATAGGAGGAATTAATGACTAATTCCTCAGTAGAGAGCTGAGGGGGAAATATATCCTGCTTAGGATATGTCTGTCACTTCAGACCTGTTGACTGAAGTTTAATTCCCAACTAGATACTAGAAAGTTATGTTAGTTTCTTGATTGTTTATTCTGTTTCACTTTCCAAAGGCCATTTTCATATGGATGGTGGCATTTATAATTAATTACTACAATAACACTTGGAAAAATTACTGATGGACCAAGGTCTACTTGTCCTAGGTCTTGTAAAGATAATGCTTTCCTCAAAAAGTTTACAATTGGTACATCAGATTATAGATAGCAGGTGCATATAGATTAACTTGGAAAACAATAAAACAATTGGGCAGTGTTGGTCATCACAGTGGGCACTGACTTGAACACTCCAAAAGTCCAACCACTGTTAAGGTTTATATTTTTCAGGCAGCATAAGAAAGGAAGGACTTACTGGAAGATAAATGTAGTGATTTTTGAGTATATTTAGGAATAAACCTTCCAAGCACTGTGGACATCATGGGGAAAAATTCAAAATTGTTTTTCTGAAAACTCGATTGCACCTTGCATTCCTTGGATTCAGGAATTGGTCTTATTTTGAATGAAACATGATGGGTAGAACTGAAATAGGGTGTTGAAGGCTGTGAAATGAAGACAGGTGGCTTATGTTTCAGTGAGAAAGAGATTGAGCAAGCTGCAGAAGAATGTAGAGGTATTTTAACTTATTTGAAGTAATAGACTAAAAGAGTGATTTTGCATCTGGGCTCTGAATATATCTTAGTGGGCAAGACTATTTTTTAACACTGAAGAAAAGGTTGCATCAATAACAGAGATGCAACACAAAAGAAGAGATTTAATGGAAGAATAAGCGTATGGCTTTGATAGTGCTTGATTATGAGGACACACAAAAAAATAGATATGAGTGGACACTGACATCCAGCTGTGAAAGACATTCAGAAAATTGATTGTGACACTTACCTAGAAGCGAAGTGGTGAGGTGAGTTTAGAAGGATGTTAGAGCTTCATTTTATCACGTTGAGCTTGAATTGACAACTAGGCAGCCATGAGGAGATGTCAGAAAGGTAGCGATTTTAGCTTGGACAAAAAGTAGTCAACTCTGAGTTGGAAAAGTTCTGTGAATCTACAGCATTGACAAGCTGATTGAACCAGTGCCTGTGAATGAGGTGATGCAAAGGCAGGTTGTAGAGGAAGATGATAAAGAGGTGATGGGCAAAGCCCTGTGGGAAGTTGGCGGTGAGAGGAGTGGGAGAAATGAGGGAGGTCCTTCAGATAGTGTTCTGAAAGAATAGCTGGAGACATAGCGGAGTACTGAGTCTTAAAAGAAATGAGAAAATGACGCGCTTTCTAGAAACAGATGTAGCCAACTGTCTATAAAACATCTCTTCAAGGGCAGTCGAAAAGTGGGTAAAAGGGGTAAAGCATACTGGGAGTGGTGTTTGACTAAAGAATTTGCTAGAGATTTTGTATAGTCCCAAGGCTTAGCTTGAGCCAGAGCTAAGCTAGAGAGAGTGTAGGATGGAATTGGAGAAACGGGATCAAGTGCGATTGTAGAAGTGGCATGCAGTGATCTTGGAGATGAGATGGTGGTGAGATAAACAGAGACACTCACGGGGTCACGCGTGACTCTCCCTCATTTAATGGTGAGAGAGAAACCTCAAAACTTGCTGGTGTCAGTGTGAAGGACCAGAGGGGTGGGAGTGGGGAATGACTGCAGTGAACATGTCAGCGATCGTGCAGAACTGGTCTCTACTAGAGGAAAGGTAGGGCTTATTCTGTAGCCGCTCTCCTGTGTGGGTGACAAGAAAGAGAGTAAAGGCAAAGAGGAAGGGGAGTGGAGGCAAGCCAGAGAGTAATTTGCCAGTGTTTCTAAGAAGCTGTTGGTGAGATGCTGTATAGAAACACAAGTAAAAAGAGTGGATGGTGAATAAATTAAAGGTGGCACCCCCTCTGCCCCAACCCAGAAACATGGACTGTGGATTCACGCCATTTTGAGTAGTGAAATTAGTAGCTGAGAGAAACTGAAATTTAGTTAATTTTTTTTTTGTTAGTATGTCTTAAAGAATATATACCTGTGATGAGAAATGATTTTTGTGTGGCTTTACATGTAAAATTTGTTGAAATTCTTAATGTAAAGAAATGATAAATATATATATTCTTTTTATATTTTTCATATATGTTTCTGTTAAGTACTTGTTTCCTATCCTAGTAGTATCTGCCATTAAATGTTTATATGTAATTCCTAAGACATAATCATACCTATTCAAAGTAGAGGCCTTTTGAGAACTGAATCATATCTGATTTGATGTTTCCTATCTCACTTAGTTTTATATTCCTAATGTTTCATGTAGTTTGGAAACCACTGATTGAAAAATACAGAAATTTAACTGTGCGTGTGGAGATGATGGGATTTAAAATACAGATTAGGGTTTTAGCCATGTTATCGGAACAGAAGTCAGTCATTTCTTTAGTAAGCTCAGCTTCTATACACTTGAACATATACCAGTTTTGAAGTTCTCAGCCTCTGTAGTGTAGCTCTTACTTGCCCATTTAAAAATTGGTCAGGGGTGAAGTGCCGTGACTGGAGTTGGGCAGTAGTTAGGTGGTTAGTGCATCACATGGCCAGCATCCAGTTTAACCAGAATTCAGATAACCAGCGTTCATGAAAGCAAGACTTGGAGGTGATGGGTTGTTAAGATGTAAATAGTTACAAATAGTGCTCTCTCTTCATTGGTTATACAGAGAATACTGGATTTCAGCTTGCATTTAATGTTCCATTACCATGGTGTTGCTGCTGAAAACTTAATATAATCTGCCTGAAAGATATTGAGCAAGAAGTGTTTCTGAGGGGTGAGACAGCTTTAGTGCCTGGAGTTGCAGCAGTTGCTTGGAGTCATTGAGGGGAAAGGGAACAAGGAACGGCAGTAGCTGCCTTTATTTACTTGGCTGTACTTGGCATCTCACGCAGTTACTGCTGCCTGTAAGAGTATCCGAAGGTAGGTTTTTATGAGAGATCTGAAACTGGATGAAGTGTTAGAGGTGGAAAAGGGAGCAGAGTCTTTTCTTCTGTTTTTAATTGTGCTTAAAACTCCCTGTGTTTTATAACAACACAATTTAATATTTTTGTGATGGTAAAAAAAATACAGCAACTTTGGCCATGAGTTACTTCACTGAGTATCGTATATTTTACATCCAGAACATCTAGAGTCTTAAACATAACCTAGATGTTGTTAACCACATCGTTGTTTGGGGGCAGAGGGGAAGGTTGTAGAGAAAAAAATGGTTTTATGTTTCTATGACAAAATTACAGACAATGAATTTATAATTTGATTACATAGACCTGAGTTTGAATAGTCTGATTTTAGTACAACTCCTTTGCTGTTGTGCACTCCATCATAACTATTTTATACAGACAAAGTTGTCAAAGAATAAATCACCCGACTCAATGTGGTCTTGTTGCTTATTGAATCCGGTCTCTTTGGAGACTGTAGTTGTCACATGAGCAAAATTATTACCTGAATAAATATTATACACACAGCTAATTTTCTTAAAAGTTTAAAAAAAGAAAGACTAAGTGGTGTTTGAGAGTCATACTTACCCACAAAGAAAACAATATTAAATTGGAAGAACATATTAGATCCTAATTGATTATCGCTTTTAACAAATGACAAGTTGGATATCTGTTCAATATACAAGTCTGTTTTGGAATTTAATAACTCAGTGGTTGGGCTTGCCTCTTCTCCCATATGCCTTCAGGTTCCTGAAGCTACTAAGAAGCAGTGCTGTTATTCTTCGCTTCCCTTTCCTCTAGACTTGAACTCTGCCCTCAGATTTATGTGACTTCTTATCTTATACAGTAGTCTTACTTTGAATTTGCGTGTGGGTTGTTATGTCGTCAGTGCTGTATCTTGTACTGTTCTGTTCATCATTCAGGCTTTATATTTGAAGTTTCACATCATTTGCAGAATTTATGCACCAGTGAATAACTGGTGAAAATGTGGCGACCTGTAAAAATTGGCATATGGGGATGATCAAAGAACAACGAGCTTTGCTTTGGGATAGGCTGTTTATCAGAAGGTTGGGTTCTGGTTAAGTTTTAGCATACTTAAGAATTTCTCAAACGGTTTTGTTGTCCAGCCGTCAAGGTATGTAAGGATCTGGAAAATACTCACATAGGAGCAGCAGTCACCACTGTAGTGACGTCTTTATTCTGTGGGTCTGGTTTATACTCAATAGAAATCAAAAGTACAAAAATGATATGACAAAATGGACTGTGTACTATATTCCTGTGAATGCACATAAACATGCTAGCTTGCTTTGTGAACCTCGGTTTCTGTGGGTAAGAAGTATCAACTGACTATCATGGATTTTTTAATCTTAAAAGAAACAATCTTGCTGTATCATTTGTTTCTCCAAAAGTACTTCCAACACTAGATATGCAAGTATTTTACACTCTCAAGTTGTGTATTAGCCTCTGATGGTGTTTGTGAATAGAGTGGAAAAAGATATGAGAAGATGAAAGACCTTTGATATGTCAAAGGTTAGGTTGGAGAAAACTTATTTTGATAAAAGTTATGTAGTCACACAAGGATCATATTTACATTGTATTTACTTTCCTGAAGTTTCCTTTGCTGCAGTAGTAGAAGCACCAGCATAGGCATAAGTTAGAGTGCTCTGACTTGACTACTCTCTGTGCTACTCTAAATGATGATGTTTATAAAAACACTAGCATCTCTTGTATTTATCTGCCTTAGCCATTGCTATGCTACTCAGTGATGCCGGGGAATTTTTGGCGTTACTGAAGATTTTCTCACGAAAGGCCAGCTCAGGCTTTGGAAGATGAAAGGAAAACACTACATCACCTCTTCTTTTTTTTTTTTTTTTTAAGAAAAAAGCACGTGGCTGGGATGATGGGGAGAAGCCTTCAGAAATACTGCTGTTCTCCAGGTGATTACGTAGCTTGGAGAGTACGCCTTGGGATCTCTTCTTAAAAGAAGAGTTTAAAAGAGGCAGGTGACTTGCCTGCTTCTCCGAGCTTTTCACTGCTCTGTGGTATGCTTTGTTTTCAGATTGTAGTAACTGCTTTAATGTATCAGTGGTACAGCATGGCCGGTAACAGTAGAAAGACTGATCTGAAATTTCAGCTTACATTGCAGACAAAGAGCACTTACTCCTAAGAGCTGTGAGGTGCTTGGAAGCTGTGGTAAAAACATCTTTTTCCTCCCAGGACTGTAAAGTTAGTTACTCTGTGCTGGTTGTTTTGCAGTGTCTGATAATTGGGGCTGGACCCTGTGGCCTTCGTACAGCTATCGACCTATCATTCCTAGGAGCCAAGGTGGTGGTCATAGAAAAGAGGGATGCTTTTTCCCGCAATAATGTGCTGCATTTGTGGCCATTCACCATACATGACTTGAGGGGTCTTGGCGCCAAGAAGTTTTACGGCAAATTCTGTGCAGGATCCATAGACCATATCAGTAAGTACAGCCGCTGCTAGACACAGCAGCACTTGTTCTTCATAGGGGAAAGGTGATTGAGGGCATGGGGGTAACTCATTAAAATTCAGCCTACACCAATCACTGCTCTCAAGTCCTCACAGTACAATTCAGCATTACCTTTGCGTAGTGCATTTTGGGCTAGACCTAGCTGTGAAAGAAATACGTTGTGCCGTGAGATTATCACACATGCAATATATATCTATCATCTCTTACACCTATTACTTTCCAAGGCATATATTTTTCGTAAACTGAAAAGTACATGTAAGGTTCAAACCTTTTTTTTTTTTTTTAAATGGATAATTGTCATATTTTTGATGTTACAGTCCTGCAGCTACCACATTATTCTGTTTCTCTTGAGCATTGTAAGCAACTTGTAAAAAAGAAAAAAATTACTGAATGCTTTTCAACATTTGTGTGAATGTTGATCTGGAAAAAGGAGGAACAATTTTGGCTTTGTTAATGTTTGGAAGAGCGATGAAGATATTTTTAAGAACACTGTCAGCCTGTGAATAAGTTTTGATTAAATAGAGATTTACATACTAAAATTGAGAATAATTTTGATTCTCAAATTCTGAGAAATCAGTTTGCTTTGAAAACTGAATGCTTTGGTGGAGCAGGAGTTGTTGGTTTTCAGTTTTTCTTTTTTTTCCAAAAAGTTACTGGACACGGCACAGCCAGGTTTTACCCAGCAGTCTGTGTTCTCCGCTGGGCATAAGTGGAAAGTATAAAGAGGCACAAACATACTAGTTAAGATTTGGCTTCTCGTCCAAAGCAAAACTGCCTTTTTTTTTTTTTTTCTTTTTTTTTTTTTTCAATGAATGGCAAAACTGGGAGATCTTTGGAATATCAGTCTTGCAGATTGCTTTTTCCCTTCCAATTTCTTGTCGTTTTTATTCTTCCAGTACTTTATGCATGTTGTCTTCTTTTGTATCTCAGCACAGCTGAAGTTTAGTGTTCAGGTGGAATGTTTTTTCATTTCAGTATCTGAAATATGACAGTAAGGTGTCTTCCTTCAAATTAGTAAAGTTTGCACACTGTCATTTTCATACCTGCTACCTACATTAACTGAAGAGGAAAGGGGTGGTGAGGAACTTACTATGCCCTCACTAACCCAGGCGTGTTAGAAGGAAGGTGCCGTTCAGTATTACAGCTAGGCTTCTCAAATGCCTAGTTGCCATCTGTGACAGAAGTGCAGTCCTGATTGTGCTCTCTTCCTTCCCTCTCCTGCAGTGCATGTTCTGGTTGTTTCCCTTGTTGCTGATTTGGGGACTGAAACATAAAAAAATTATTTACTTTTTATTCTTTCAAAAGGGCTGGGGTTTCAGCTATATAGAAGTTTCTTGGCATGCTGTCATATTACACACCAGTGCTGTATGGATGAAGTGCTGGGAACAAGTGGGGAAAAAGAAAGTAGTAGCTGGCCTTTAAATCCGTTTATCAGTAATGTGAAACAGTGACACATGGGCACTTGTGCTCTTTTCTTTTTATTTCTTTATCATCTGCTTTTTTGCAGGTATCCGTCAGCTCCAGCTTATCCTTTTGAAGGTTGCCTTGATCTTGGGAATAGAGATCCATGTCAACGTGGAATTTCAGGGGCTTGTTTACCCTCCAGAGGATCAGGAGAATGAAAGCAAGTAGCATTGAAATGGGTAGTAGAGAAAGGGGAAGTTATGGTAGGATACAGACTCCTGCTCCTTAACCCTGCTTATGACTCTAAGTCCTTTCCTCATGCTTCGTTAATGAGAGTAATTAACACACTTTTGCTTGAATTTTTTTAGTAGGATTTATTCTTTCTGATGACAAATTCAAATTAGTTACTATATGAAGCAAAATCACAAGTACTACACAGAAATAGACTACAACACAGTGGGTCGTAATTGCTCTTAAAATATTTAAGTCTATTACACTTAGAAGTTACCTTTTTAAAACAACTCCTTTCCTTGCATTCACTGAAGATACTTATATCAGTGAATGATCCATGTTATGCTTTTTGTATCTTTGTGAAACCTGTTCTCTGATCACCATGGGAGATGGTGGCTTACTTGTTTTTCGGCATCCTATTAATAGAATGGACAGCAGAGAAGCTATAAGGGTTGTAGCGATCCTTAAAGGTAATAGTCAGGGGGGTTTTACTGGAGCTGTCTCTGCCTCTGATTCACACAGAGTGTCTGTGCAGGTCAGTAATAGCCCTGTCAACAATATAGCTGTCCTGCAGTGCATCTTTACTGACCATGTGAAGAAGGGATTTTGGGTAGTGAGAAGTGGTTTTATGTACTTGTTCTATTATGAACACTGTTTATATTGTCATTAACTTGGAGTTTATCAACAGGAATAGGCTGGCGTGCATTGGTCCACCCGAAAACCCATCCAGTATCTGAGTATGAGTTTGAAGTAATCATTGGAGGGGATGGCAGGAGGAACACCTTAGAAGGTAATGGTGTGTCTGTAATTTGCCTTCAAATAGAACCTATTCTTAAATTAGTTAGAACAAAAATGGCCTTTAACATACCAATCAAAATCTGGAAAGACATTTGACTTGTGAAAGGGGAGATTAAAAGTCCATGTAAGGGGAGATTAAAAGTCCATGTAAAAATCCATTTGTATCAAAAGACACGTGGGTCATCTTTTTCCTCTTCCTGTCCACTAGCAATGGAATTAGGTGTTTTGACCTGGATAATTTTTCCTACATTTTTTTTCTTTAGTTGAGTAGTGTTGTAGCTTTTACTTTTCGGAGTAGGAATTGAAGTGTTGAATGTTATTCTGTGTAGCAGAGAATTCTGTCTTACTATTTTTGATGCAAGCTGCAATTTTTGGAAAAGAAGTAAGAAAGAGAGGGGAGCTTTTTCCCTAACCAAGAGCTTTTCTTTTTCTGGTGAAGCAGTTGTTGCTTTCTCTGTGGGGGAGTTTGTAATTCATCAGATCCATTCTCTGTTTATTTTGTGAGGGCACCTGTGTATGGCATGCTGAGCCTTCTCTGAAGGTATGCTCTGTTTTTCAGTGTTACTATTTTATCTTTCCCATAGGGTTTCGCCGAAAAGAGTTCCGTGGTAAACTAGCAATTGCTATCACAGCAAACTTCATCAATCGCAACACCACAGCTGAAGCCAAAGTAGAAGAGATCAGTGGTGTGGCCTTCATATTCAACCAGAAGTTCTTCCAGGATCTACGAGAAGCCACAGGTTTGCCAACAATTGCCAGATTTCCAGTGAAAACTATTTGTCTTTATTATTACAACTTTGTGACTCGGGTATCATATTTAATCAATAAATGAACATCTTGTGCAAGGAAGTCAGTCATTACTGTTTCTCTTTGAAATCTGACTTCCCCATTTTTACAGCTGTTCTGTACAGCTGTAAAAAGCAGATGTGTATCATTCAGATGTGTGTCATTTTTGTTCAGAAGTGGAGAACTTATTTCCCTGAAGGTTTTCAGGAAATCTGAGCCCTAAATAGGTAAGGTCTAAATCCTGAGTTCAGTTTCCTGCGTTCCGCATCTGAATGCAGACCTTAGAGAGATGATAAATATATTTTTTAAAAGAGGTAGCTATATGCAGGTGAAATGTGCTGTTTATGGTTTTGTTGAAGATTGATGTTTTAAAGTCATCAAAAGCATGGGAGAAAGCTGCTTGGCATTCTCTCTCTAAGGCTTTCTAACCACATAGTTTCAATTTACTTTCTTTCAATAGAGCTTTTGTGTTATACGTAACATGTAACTTGTTCCTTCACTACCATGTCTTTTGTTCTGTCACAAGGTATTGACTTGGAGAACATTGTCTACTACAAAGATGATACACACTACTTTGTCATGACTGCCAAAAAACAGAGCTTGCTGGAGAAAGGAGTGATACGGCATGTGGGTATTACCTTTTCCTGTGCTCACTATAAACTATGATTTTGGTACAATTTGCTTTCAGTATACTGAAAGAAGGGAATCGCTCTCTTCTTGTACCATGTAACGTTTTTATACAGGTGTATTTTAGACCTCAAGTACATGTGGTTAATGCCCTTCTGAAGTATTTTGGGACATCAGAAGAGTGTTATAAGATCTATCCTCTCCAAATATGTATTCCTTTGTAGATTTGGGGATTTCTTTCACCTTAAGATAAAATATGCTTAAAGAACCTTTGACAGCCTAGTTGACCTTCCCTCATTTTATGGCAATGAAACAGCACAAAGTGAAGAAACTATTGGAAATATATCTAATTCTGACAGAAGGTGATTTAGAAGTAGTTTGGCCACAAATGAATAAATAAGGACTGGGGTCTTGTGCCTTTTATCTGAAGTGTGTGAAGAGAAATGCTCAGAAGTTTCTTACCCCTTTCACAGTCAGAAATGATAGTAGGACTGATTACTGTTTGCAATAAAAGATTTACAAATTTTCTCTTGGAAGCATAAACACAGATAGAATGAAAGAAATTAGAGGGCAAACCTGTATCAGTGGATTTGTAGGAGTTTTAATGCCAACTGTTGTATATACCAGTCTTTAAATAAACTTGTGGATTTGGCTATTTCACTTTTAATATTCTCTTTTTGGCAGGATTATGCTGACACAGAGTTACTACTCTCACGAGAGAATGTGGACCAGGAGGCTCTGCTAAACTATGCCAGAGAAGCAGCTGACTTCTCCACTAATCAGCAGCTGCCATCACTGGACTTTGCCATCAATCACTATGGTCAGCCAGATGTGGCCATGTTTGACTTCACGTGCATGTACGCATCGGAGAACGCAGCCCTTGTGCGAGAGCAGAATGGCCACCAGTTACTTGTGGCACTGGTTGGGGACAGTCTCTTAGAGGTTTGTGTTTTAAACTTATGTGTAAGCAGTGAATTGAAGCATAAGCACAAACTATTGCACCTATCACCAAAATGTGCACTGCCTATAAGATAGTTACTATAAGGAAGGCTACTGTTTATTATATAATAAAGTGGGAGGTTTGAAGGAAGGGTAGGAGTGTTGGGAAAACAGAATACTTAGGATGGCAACGATCTTGCTTAAGAAAATGTGTGCAGAGATTTTTTTCTGAAGTTATGTCTGTTCCATCTGCCTCTTATTGGGACAGTTAGACTCTACAGAACCTACTGTAGGCCTGTAAATAATTAGCATTTTGTAGTTGGTTTAAAAAGCACAATCTTGAAAAGAAGGTGTTAAGGCACACCAGGCTATGAATTGCTGTTGGAAACAGAGGAACACTGGCTTTGGGGGAAGATCACGGGCAATTCACCATACATCTGGCTTCCTCTAGCCCAGTGGGAGTGGAGCTTTAAGCTAATTACTGAGCTATAATTTCCCAGCAGATTACCATCTGAATATATTCTTTACATTTGTTTAAAATTTTCCCTAACTGATGCTTTTCCTTTCTCTGCTTTTTTTGTAAACTATAATATTAGCCATTTTGGCCAATGGGAACTGGAATAGCCAGGGGATTTTTGGCTGCAATGGACTCTGCTTGGATGGTACGAAGTTGGTCACTCGGAGCTAGTCCTTTGGAAGTTCTTGCAGAGAGGTAATAGAGAAATTGAATACGCTTTCAGTTCTAATCTAATCCTCCAATATCTCATCATTCATTCCAGTTTCTTGTAGTACAAATATATAGACACAATATGAGATACTAAGAGATCTCACTCTTTGTAGAGGATGATTGTGGGTATAATTCAATCGAAGAAAAAATTTCCCAAGGACCTAATAAACTGAAGTATATTTATAGAGGAGTAAGAACTGTTGCAGCTGTTCTTGTTCCTAGTTATAAAAGCAGATTAGAAGAAGAGTCTTTTTTTTTGGTGCTTACTGATATTACCTGGAGAAAATGAGCCTGACTTACTGTCACTAGCCTTGCAATAGCAAAGCAGATGGAGATGTAGGTGCCTTTAAAGTACCAGAGACAAAAATTATTGCCATCCCCTATTGTCTTGTAAATATCTTCTGTGATTTTCTTTGAAGGAAGCTAAGACCTGCTTTTATTTCATGTTCTAAATTGATCATTTTTTTCATATAAGCCAAAGAACATCTTGTGTTTCTTTGGAGTACGAAGTTCTTGATGTTTTTATCATCTTCAGTTGAGTGTTGTTTTGGTGACTCAAGGTGATATCTTAGAGATCAGAACTTGGGTAAACTAAAAGATGGAGTAAGTAAAAGCAAGGTCTAATAGAACCTATTTTAAACTTAAGGAACTGTACCTTCTAACCATCAGGAACCGTAATATCATTTAAAAAATTGTGTAAATGGCACAATGAATATTTAAAGTTCCATTTGTTTGAATTTAAAAAAATGGTGAAGATGATAATGTTGCAGTTGGAGCCAGACTTCCATCACCTTTCCATTGGACATTTGCAGACAGCAGTAAGATCTTCCCTGAGCCTTCTCTTCTGCACACTGAACAAACCCAGTTCCCTTGGCCTCTCCTCACAGGGCAAGTGCTCTGGTCCCCTTGGTGGCCCTCTTCCTGAGTTGCTCCTGTGTCTCAATGTCTTTCTTGTACTGAGGAACCCTTTCAGTTATGCTTAATGTATTGTTTTCTTCCCTCCTTTTGATTTCTAGAGTTGTATTAAATTGCAGATTTTAATACGCTTAAACTGAAACTTAGCTATTCAGTGTCTGAAGTGGTTAGATTTCTGATCTGCTTGTTTATCTCTTCAGAATTGACTTAGCAGTATTAGTAGCGATGCATCTCTTTTAAAAACAAAACAAAACAAAACCCCCAAAACCAGCCCACAAAACCTAATACTTTTTAAAAATTTTATTCTCCTAAGGGAAAGCATTTATAGGCTACTGCCCCAGACCACCCCTGAGAATGTGAGTAAAAACTTCAGCCATTACAGCATTGATCCCGCCACCCGGTATCCCAATATCAACGTCAACTTCTTGCGGCCACAGCAGGTAACTGGACAAATGGTGCCTCTGAATGCTTGTGATCTGTGTTGTCTTTCCTGAGGTGAAGCCATGCTAATGTTTTGGGAACGGATAGTGACGTGATGTGGCAGTATAGCGTGGAAGCAGTGAAAAGCAGATATATCAGTCAAGAGTAGACCTCTGTACTTAAACAAATTCCTGCTTGGGAATTTTTGATTTTGACAGTTTTAACCTTGCTGTAATGGTACATAAAATCTATACGTGCGTGCATGTGCATGCACGCGCGTTTTCTTTGTAATAATCTAGTGTAGCAGTCTGTCGTTGCAATTTGATATCCACTGAGCAGCAGCAGTCAGCTAGACTATTCAGCACTGACTAGCTGTTCTTTGTTGTTCTGGGGTTCTTGTACTAGAGATTTCTGCTGCATAAGTGTACTTGTCTTCCTTTTTGTGCCTTGGGATGGCTCCTTCTTGTCATGCTTTTTCTGTATGGATCTTGGGTGCAGGGCATGTTGGTCATCTTTAATTTTTTGGTGTCATTTTAGGTACGCCACTTGTATAATACAGGAGACTTGAAAGACATTCACCTAGAAATAGAGAACTTTGTGAACTCCAGGACACCAAAGCTGACTCGGAATGGTAGGCCTGGCTACTGCTCCATTCCTTTCGGTATTCTGGATCAATGCAGGACATAGAGCAGTGGGGCTCTACAGTATTACTTAACCAGTCTCTTTTGGTTTAGAAAAAGTATCCAGCAATTGTTTCGTCAATGGTCTGATTTTCCAATTTTTCCAGTTTCAATTAGCATGTAAATATATTTTTGTTTGCCTAATTTCCCTTGCTTTATAATCCTGTTATGTTTGAAGCATATTTGCTTATGCAAGCATTTTTTCACCTCCTTTATCCTATAACAATGTCCTTACTTCGAGTGCAGAAGCCTAGCCTGAATTCACTCTAACAGTAAATTCAGAATTCTTACAAACATAACAAAGTATTTCTTGAACAGACTTTCATGTTCATGCTTTCTTTTACTTAATTTTATCTCTTGGCTTAAGTAAATGAAACCTCACTTTGCTTGCATTATTCTGAAAGTTAAGATGCCTTGTGATAAGCATTTCAGTATCTGTCTACTTGTCCTATACCCTGAGGGGTATGTTGAACTTTTCCTTTTGCACACCTTGCCTTTGGATGTCCAGATAGTGTCTGGACTCTCAGAATGGCACTTTACTGCTAAGCTTCCCTTTCACTGCTGAATAGCTATGTAGTCTTTTGATTTATTCTTTGGCCTGCAACCACGTCCCTCTAGGCTGTAATTTCCTCAGATCTTGCAGTAAGGCAAGGTCAAAACAGGTCAGTGCTTTTAAAGGAAAGCTTTCAAGAGAAAAGAAAAAGTTGCAGAAGTACATCTGTAGTTCTTCCATTAGAAATAGTATATCTGGGCTTTAGAGAGCATTTATGCTGTTGTATATCCTTTTGATCATGTTTAAAAGAAGCCTTTGTGACTGCTTTATAATCCCTGGGGCTCTTTTACAAGGGCTAGGGTGAAAAGCCTGGCAAGTTATAACTTAGGTAATTACTTTTTAGCAAATTAAAAATCCTTTCTTGGATCCAAAATAGGTAAGATAGTATTTTTAAAAAAAAATAAGAATTCTGTCCTGTATTGCTTATTGTAGAAGGAGCTTGTGTTTACATGAAGGTTTTATTTGTTGATTGATGTTTTTTATGTTGATTTTAAAATTCACAAAAGAGATGTTGTACATTTCTACTGCAAAATGTGATTTCTTACAGAGTCTGTAGCTCGCTCTAGTAAATTGCTCAGTTGGTGCCAGAGGCAGACTGATGGATACGCTGGTGTAAATGTGACAGACCTCACAATGTCATGGAAAAGCGGCCTAGCTTTGTGTGCCATTATCCACAGATACCGTCCAGACTTAATGTGAGTAACTGGCTGTTTTGAATAACTGGAAAGAGCGGAACACTAGTGATATTTGGAACTAATAGCATGGAGACTGAGGCAATGCATTTGTGACTTATAGAGAAATGGATTGAAACAAATTCAATTAAACTTGATAGAAGCTAACGTATGCTGATTTACCAGCAGAGTGGAAGGTCATAATAGCTTGATGAATATGAAGATAAATGTGTTGTCGTTTTCCCTTCTGGATGATTTGACAGAATTAAGCTTCAGATTGGTACTGACTGGAAAGCATTATTGACTGACAGCTCTTTTCTCTGTGAAGTTAGTCAGGAATAGTTCATAGCTTCAGTTAAATTTCTCATGAACAAGTCTCTAAACAGCCGTTTATAAATCTCCTGTTTAACAGTAACTCTTCTTAAAGACTTTTAGGCTGCTCTTTTTAGAAGTAGTGACCCACAGTCTAAATAGAGACATTGCTACCGTTTGTGCACTAACATGCTGATGGGATGAATGAGAGAGGCGTCCTCTTACATGATATATTGGGTAAAACAGTGCCCAGATTCTAGAATGGGAAAACACTGGCTGGAAGAAGTAACAGGAGCAAAGACTCTGGTACTTTAATTGAAATTTGAAATGGCTGCAACGTCCCAAAGGGACATTAGAAAAAATAAATGCTAGAGCTGTATTTAAAGACATAATCCAATGGAAAGCATTCTGAAAAATTACTTGGTTATTCCCTTCCATGTGCACTGAATTACTTCTCTACTGGTGTACTCGAGTTAACCTGAGCTACTCTGTTTAATAGCTATATAGCTTGTGGAGAGTTCAAATAGCTTTTAAAATGGTTTATATAACTCTCTACAAGCTGTAGCTTTTTATATAGCTTTTATATAGTTCTACAAGTTTTGGAAAAAGCCAGCAGAACTAAAATATGGATCGATCAAGAAAAAAGGGGACAAAAATGAAGACTTAATTTAGTTCCAAGCACACAGAAGATTTTACGTAGGGGAAAACAGTACAGTATTCCAGCAAAGGAGGAAGTGATGATATATTTCAGAGGATAATAAAGTTTTTAAGAAGGAAAATCTGGTTTTGGAGGAGAAGCAAAAAATGAAAAAAGAATGCTTTGGAGCCAAAGTTCACCATAATTAACTAGCATCAACTCTGCAAGACAAAAAGGTTGCTGGCAAATAAATTTGAGAGATTTTGGAGGGGGGAAAAAAAAAAAGGAGATGGATCCCTGAGTTCCTTCAGAAGACTGGTTTCTGCTTGATTCAGAGCACGCCGTCTTTCTGCCCTTTGCAGAGACTTTGATTCTTTGGATGAACACAATGTGGAGAAGAATAACCAGCTGGCCTTTGACATCGCTGAAAAAGAGTTTGGAATATCTCCCATTATGACTGGAAATGAAATGGCATCTGTCGGAGAGCCAGATAAACTGTCAATGGTGATGTACCTCACACAGTTCTATGAGATGTTCAAAGACACCATCCCCTCTAGCGGTAAGGAGTTTGGGGCAGGTCTCTCAGATTTAAAGACAGCTTCAGGGTGAATTTGTGTGTTTCAGTTATCTTCGTACTGCTTCTGCATAAGCTCATAGTAGTCACTTGCTAACTTTACCTTACAAAAGTTGGCTTCTTATTGGTGCTGATAAAGACCATGTTAGCAGCATCAGGAGCAAAAAAATGAGTTAATACAAAATAATGTTCTCAAAATAATGCCCTCAAAAATTCTAAACTCACTTCAGCACTACTAAATAACGTTTCTGCTTTCTTGCTATTATTAAGGGTTCACCTGTCTTGGCTAATGTGAGATGCCTTGCTAGTAGTTCTTTAGTAGGTAATGTCAGAATAGTGGCCAAATTTTATATCTATTTACCATGCATGAATGGTGAGAGTAGCTTCAGGCCAATGAGGACTGAAGGATCTTTGATTAGAACTGAAAGACGTAATTGTCTAACACAAATCAATATGGCCTACCTTTAAGTATTAATAATGTTGTTATGGCTGTTTCTTTATTACTGATGATCTTAATTCAAGTCTATTGTTCTGGTCGGTAAAAAAATTGTGTTTAATAGCCTTTTAAAAATAAGTGTGTATCAGGTATTATTTCCAAAACTCTGAACTCTTCTTAACAATACTGATGATCATGATGCTCTTTAAATATGAAAGTAAATAGAGTAAACAAACACAGTATTTATTCTGCGTGTTTATAAACCCTGAAAGGAGAATTGATTTTGGCAAAATGAAGAAGCAGAGTAGCTGAGAAAGGTATTCATTCTGGACATTACAATCATTTGGTAACAGGGAATTTAAGAAAAAGAGTGTTAAGTTTTTAAAAAAAAAAAAAAAAAAATCAGCGAGTCCCTCAGTTGTGTATTTAATAATAACACCACAGAAATAATGTCTTGGCATTCTCTTGTCCTACCTGTTTTTGCTAACAGATAGTCTGGACCTGAATGCAGAAGAAAAAGCTGCCCTAATTGCCAGTACCAAATCGCCTATCTCTTTTCTCAGTAAACTGGGACAAAGCATCTCTCGGAAGCGCACTCCAAAGGTAACCATACCACAGTCTTGATAACACTTGTGTCTGTTAGGCTGCTCCCCAAGTAGGTGGTACTAAAAATGTCTGTGTGTGTCTGTTATGTGTTTACAAAAGACCATGTGTTCATCAGCTCTTGGCATGGGACAATACATGACATTTATAATTGCAGAATTACATCTGTAATATGTACTCTCAATTAGTGGTATATTTCAGCCTTAAAATCCTAGCCTTGTGGTAGTATTTGGGGATATATTTTGTATTGGAACATAACGGGTTTTTCAGTTCCCAGTTAATTGAAAGTGCTGAAGAATGTCCAATTTGAAGGTAAGAATCCCCTTAAACAAATGGAGAATGAGCCCAGAGAATTAATCAGTTGTGTTGCAAAGCTTATTTAAGTGCACTGATGACATTTATCTCAGGCCAGAAAGGTATGAGAATCCTTATCTTTCGTTTTTTTGTTTTTTGTTGTTTTTTTTTTTTTCCCCCTCCTCCTTCCATTTTCAGGACAAAAAAGAAAAGGAACTGGATGGTGCAGGAAAGAGGAGAAAAACCAGCCAATCTGAGGATGTAAGTATTACAGTGAGAAATGTGTCAGGGAGGAAAACATATGGTACGTTCCTTGTTCCCACTTCAGTGCTTTAATTTTCTATATACAGACAGAGTTTATATAAGATTTTTTTTTTTTTTTTTTTTTTATAAAAATTTATTTTTTTTTAAAGGTTTTTTTTTTTCTATTCTTAAGTGCATACATTTCTAGTATGCCCTATGAGACAGTCCTTCACTTGAAATGTTTATAGCCAAATAGGTACAAGTGAGTTAAAATTTAGTGCTTTGAGTTGTCAGTGAAGGTTTGAAGATAGGCCTTTGCTTTGTGTCGTGTCAGTGGTGGGAGTGTTTCAGCTGTGGTCTCTTTGATAGGTAAGTGTATCAAATAAGGTTGAAAAGATAAGTAAAGTAAAGTTAAACTTTTGATGACATGCCAAAGGAAATTAAAATGTGAGCTTTCAAGTGCAGACTAATAGGTTTGTTTTCTACAATGTTAGAAACCTATCAGGGCAGAGGGGCAGAGAGGAAAAGGTGATCCGGTTGCATCTTGTTAAATTTTGATATTGCTGATTGTTAGGAGGACATCCCGCGAAGCTACAGAGAAGAAAGGCCCACGCTGGTGAGTGCCCTGACAGAAAGGAGAATTGATGCTGCCATTGGGAATCAGAACAAAGTCAAGTCTATGGCAACCCAGCTACTGGCCAAGTTTGAGGAGAATGCGCCAGTGCAGTCCTCAAGCTTACGAAGACAGGTAGGAGATGGATAATAAAACCCCGTGTTTTGGAATTATGAAGGAAAATCCTGAATAATAACATGCATTCCTTGAGACCGGATGCTAGTGGTGCCCTTCTGCTTCAAAGGCTCTCCTAGGGAAGAGTGAAGCTTATTCAAAAGAGAAAAAATTTAGATTTAGGAGTATGGGATAGAGAAGAACTTCCTAATAAAAGTCTATTTCCCTGTTATTGCCTGTATTATTTTATATAATCTGTTTCAAAAACATCTTAGCAGCAATTAGGTTTCTTTTATAACTGCTGTTGCTGCTGAAAAGCTTTCCAGGAACATCCTATTTCTAATGTTTAAGAGCTATCATTTAATTTCTGATTTGAACTTTTTCATGCCAGCTTATATCTGTTTGTTCTTGTGAACTTGTGATTAAGTTTTGTATGTGTGTGTAAGTGCAGCAGATAAATGCCTGAGAGTTTCTTTGCAATTGGGATATTTGTGTCATTCCAAGTGAGGCTTCCTGATGACCGCTGGTTATTCAGGATGGTATTCGAACTACTGCAACTGCAGAGTAGCTGCCTTTGAAGTTAGATTGAGTCACTTCAAGCTACTGCTAGCAGTGCAGTGCCAGCAGTATAAGGCTCAGTATGGTTTAAGTGCCTGAGTTCTTGCTCTGCTGCATAGTCTGTCTTCATAGCTCGTGCCAAGCTCTGTGCTGCCATGGACAGATTGCGAGTGGGGTCTGACCTAGCTGCTTTAAAGCTAAGTCGAGTATGCCTATGCTACACTGCACGCCAGTGTTAGTAGTGTAACATAATCTCAAAATGGTGACGTTTATCCCACTCTTTACCAATCAAATGTTTCCTCAGCCACTACATATTGTCTGGAATAACCAGGCTGATTTGAAGGAGCAATGAAAATAAAGGGAAGGTCCAAAAACAGATGTAGTTTCCCGTTTTTGGATGTTCTTTCCCTTTTTATATTTTACTGGCTAAATGAATTCTCCCCTACCTTATTTTTTTTTTCTTAAACGTTTGTCTGTCTTATTCTGTATCCCATTCCTTTGGCTTTCTTTGAGTTTTCTTTACTATTTTATCTTTCCTCCTTGGTCCCAACCCACTTTCACTACAAC